TCATTTGTCCAGCACTGTGATTTATGACTAAATACCTGCAAAACGTCAGTTATGTTCTGGTCACCTTTGTCTAGTGCTAATTTGCTATTGCTAGCATGCTAAGCTAGAATACTTGATGATGATGATGATGATGTTGAATAGAATTATTCTGGTGTTCATAGAAGATTGCTATCATGAACACTTCTGCACAAATTTGTCCAAATTCACATTAACCATGATAAAATAGTCAATGTGGTCGAACACAACGCTGCATTTTAGCAACAAGGAAGTGGTTCAACTTTAGACTTGTGCCTTTAAAATTCCTGTCGACGAGTTGATTTTGTAACATCAAGCAGCACTAACAGCATTTCAGACAGGACACTTTGTCAGATTTTAACCATTTATTTGAGATCACATACATTTAGTTTGGCGGTGACTGCTCGTGATGCTCTGGAACAATCTGAGCGAGCATGACACAGATAATCCCTGAGATCACAAACCCCCGCAGAGCCATGAATTTACAATTTTTCAAATACGGTATGAACACGAGAACAGGAGACCAACTAAATAGCCTTCACTTACGAAATCTAGATTACATAGTTCAAGGTACAATAATGAACCATCTGCGACCTACAGTCCCACGATATGGGAAACACCAGGGTTATATGAGATTGAACTGTTTTTAAAAGGTAGTGGTTGGGGAGGAGGAGGAGATTTGATGATCTGCAGAGGCTGGAGTAGCAGCGATGTGGTGAGCGTGAAGCGGGCAGAATGAATGAACGCTGCCTCAGTTATAAAGCACGCTAAGTGGGTGGGCTGGACTTTAGCGATGACGATTGGACAGGAGGGGCCATGTGACACCCTGACTCCGTGCCTGTCTGAACTAACTAACTGACTATATACCTGCAAAACTTCATTTATATTTCCATCACCTTTGTCTCAATCTGTTATAACACAACACAATCTGAGGGACCCAGCTTCATACGTGTTGTGTCGTCCATCCTTGTTGTAGTTTTTAGATCTGTTCAGTATTAATTGGACACTTTTGTGCTGTTGGTGGAAAAAAATTGACAAACTTAGATTTTCTTATGTCATAAATTTTGTGACTTACCTGATAAAATTCTTTCTGTTTAAGATGCACCTCATTTAACCAAAGTCTGCACAGTTGAACCTTGGCTGCAGGTCAAACCAGCTCTTCCCTGCCTGTAGATGAACTCTCCAGCTCAACACATGACATTTAACTCAACATCACATTATATTCAGTAATAAGACTCTCATCATCTGACTGTGTGGCCGTGAGCTTCAACATTATGAATCAATTAATCGCTAAATGGAAGAACTTTGTCGCTGCAGGCTTCAGTTTGGTTTAATGGCAGCAGACTGTGTGGGAAAATAGACCATCATCAACCCTCTGGAGATGGATTTATGGTTGTTCTTCTAATCAGGAACTTCTTGAAGCGACTGCAGAGAAAGAGTTCAGTCAGTTCATCTCCTCAGAATGTTTTCCAGCCGTAGTTCAGCTCTGCAGGACGTTCATGCTGCTTTGATTCAGAACTTTTGTTCGAGTTGAATCTGAGGGCAGATTTTAGTTACAGCAGTTTCTGTTAAAACTGTAAAACCCAACAACTGACTCGAATACAAATCTAATTTGTCAGACGTACTACTTAGAAACTGTTGGCAAAAAATGTAATTGCAAAGGACAATGAAGGCAAAAAGCCTCATCTCACACCACAGAACCAGTTTTCTTGTCTGATATTAAACCAAATTCAACACAGTATAACATATGACTCTACATTAGTGAAAACAGCAAACAAAACAAATCTGCAAACACACAGCAGCCAAATCATGTTAAACAAGTAAAACTAAAAAAACAAATCAGCAAAAAGAAAGATTTTATACTGGGACCTGGATTTGCATATATTTTTGTTCATTTTCAGGAGTCTTTGTTGAACACTCAGAGCCCAACGGATGCACTTTACATCCAAATTCACATTCCTTCTTCTCAGTTTATTTGCTCTCAAAGTATTTAATCAGGGAGCTGTTGCACAAATCAAATGAAAGCGTTTGAGTTGACCTTTCAGTGGATGCTTGTTGCTTATTTGTGCAACGAAGTGAAAAAAAAAATCATTTGTATTTACATCAAATGTCATTTTAGTTACAACCTGCAAACAGCTGCACGCATTATTTCAAATGTTATTACTCATTAACTTGTCATTGCATGATAATATCAAGATATGTTATTATCTCTATCAAGCATTTATCATCTGTATCATTGCATGCAAACACATCACATCACATCTGTACTAATGTCTTTTCCCATTTCCACACCCTTGATTCTTTGCTGAATAAGTCACAAAGTCCTTATTGTTTCATAACAAGAGTAGAATAAGAATAAAAATATCAAACTATAGAGCAGAACTTGACCGTTCTGATGAAAAGTGGAAATATTATGTTTGTTTATTATAGATTCTTTCGTCGTCCTTGTGTGTTAAATACGTTGATATGTTGAGGGTTTAAATTATATTGATTGCATCTGTTTAATTGATTCGTCAGCAGCAGAAAAAAAACACAAAAAAGACTCTTATAAGTCATTTTATAAAAAATACTCTGCAGTATTAGAACAAACGAACACCCCAAACATTCCGGATTATGAACAAAAGAGCAGCAACAAAATGCAAATAGAAGCAGAGGAGGTCGTTAATGAACACTTTATACTGATGTAATAAAGAGCTACAAAGGTTAGTTGATTAATTGTCAACTATAAAGTTATTTGTCAAATATTTTGATATTGAATTAATCAGTTTGACAGAAAAGCCCTAAATTCTCAGATTTTTGCTTTTTAAATGTGAATATTTTCAATTTTTTTTCCCTCTGTGACAATAAACTTGAATATCTTTGGATTGTCAAAAAAAAAGACAACAACTAATCAATTAATCCAGAAAATAACAAAATAATCAACAGTGAAAATGATCGAGTGTCGCAGCCCTGGTGTGATGTGAGTGTCGACAAAACACCACACAACAAAAAAAGAGTTTTTCTGGTTGTTTTTCTCTCTTACTTTTTGAAAAAATGAACAAAATTGACATAACAATTTAACAAAACTGCTCAAATGTGTCAATTATTAAGTTGTTGAAACGTGAACAGACAGATGGAAAACTGACGGCAAAGGCGATCTAAAACTAACAAAGTTAGAATTTAAATGAGAAATCGTCTGATAAAAGATTTAATAACCAAGAGCATTTATTTGACCAGCTGACAGGATTCAGATTCACTTTAACACATCAAATTCTGCAGCATGTTTTTTACAGTGTTCCCTCTTCAGATATTCACAGGAGCCTCCTTAAAGGAAAACTTATGTCCTGCTGTGATATTAAACATATTCTGTGTCATATGATAATTTATTAATCCTGCAGAGGCCAGCATACGTAGGTTCATGTCATATAACACCTAAACTGGACTGCATGTATGCACTGTCATATTTATAGTCGCTGGTTTAACTGTGCTGCTGTATATCACAGCCATACGAGGTCCTGCAATAAATCTGAAACTTCTCTGCAGCAGCGTCACCGAACGAATGACGACATTTATTCTCCTGATATCAGTTGGTTTCTGTGAACCTTGTTGACCTCTGAGTAGCTTCAGTGGTTCAAGGTGTTGATAAATTAAAATAAATTAAAATTAAACTGAATAGAAGGAAAGATCAGANGATAGATAGATAGATAGATAGATAGATAGATAGATAGATAGATAGATAGATAGATAGATAGATAGATAGATAGATAGATAGATAGATGTACTGTTCAGTGTAATCATCAGGACATAAACACTCAGTTTGGGGACTGAGAGTGCCAGACACTTAGCAAGTATTAACAGATCATGAACAGCTGAAGTAGAAATTATTGTAAAAATTACTGTACAATCAATATTAAAGTAACGGATGCAAAAGCTGAACTTGAATACATGGTTGAAATTGCTAAAAGTAATGGGATACATAGATAAAGTGGTTGATGAATGGTTAGAAAAGTTAGCTAAAACGTAAAATGGTAGCAAAAAGTCAAGTCACTTGTGATTCTATTAATAAATAGCACATTTAAAACTCACGTTGGCCCAAAATGCTTTTCAATAGATAAACAGGGATTAAATACATTTTTAAAAAGCTTGAATAATGTAAATATTAGGATAAAGAGCCGGCAATATGTATCACACTAAACTAGATATTAGGAATCTATGATTTATGTATAGTGGCAGATTAATGGTACTGAAGCCAAAAGTGATTAAAATTGGTGAAAGTTATGGATAGAATGGTTGACAAAGGGTCAAAAAGTTAGCTAATATAAGCATAAGAACCAACATTGTCATGTATACAAGTAGATTTGTAGGGAAAAGCTAAACATAATGAATAAACAGTTTTAATAATTAGCTAAATGTGATGGAAAATGTACTTAAAGAGCTGACAGTAGAAGTGATGAGGATAAATTGACAGATCATCAATATTAAAGTGATGGTGGGAACAGCTGAAAGTAAGTAAATAAAATTGCTAAAAGAAATTGATAAATGCAATAGATACAAATTCAAAAAGTTAGCAAAAATTAGTGGAAATTTTGCTAAAAGAAAAAAAAGAGAGAGAAAAAAGCTGAAGTCTGAATAAAATGGTCAATGAATGGTTTTTAAAAAAACTGCTAAAAAATAAAATAGTTGGCTAAAAGTTATGCATGAACAGTGAGTGATTTATATAAACATTTAGTTAAATCAACCTGACCTAAACACTGACTAACTTTGTCAAAACCTTTCGACAATGAACGGTGTGAAATCTGTCGATAACACAGTAAATTTGACAGTGAAACCTTTAACTGCTGGTTACCATAGAAACTACACTGGTTACCATCTCTCGGGTTAAAGTCACTATAATTTTAGCATCATCTTTTTTATTGTGTCCCTTGATCAGTTACTGTCTTCTAAAGCGCTCTTTTACTTACTGAAGACGGAAGATGTCCAACCACCTTTATTCTCTGATGTTACAGGAACAAAAACAATCTCCCCGAGAGGCTGGAAGTTGATCCCAGTAAACGAACATCCGTCGATGTCGCCAACATCGTGCAACGCCAAAGGACCAAAGAAGGTCCGCTTGAAGTGAACTGGAACAATCCACCTGCCACCACCGATCACTTTTCAGAAGATTTCGTAGACGATCCAGACGTCCCGCCGCTCATATAAGATGAAAGAGGAGTTCCTTAAATACAAGTAAATACCAAATGCAGACCGAGTTTGAATAACCGCATTAAACACGTGATGTTTCTGGTGGTTAAAAAGGCTGACTCGGACCTCTGCTTCCCCCAAACAACAGATTGTACGGGTAATAAAAAAACACTTTCATAACATAAGAAGACTTTTAGAATTATTTGAACCTTTAGATAACTTTTCCTGTCTAAAAACAACCCAGCATTTAGTTTCCACTAATTGACCACAACAGAAAATCATTTACTCGAAAACTGCATGTAAAACAAACACTGTACATGTCATTGTTGAACTTAATGTAAATGTTATAGACGTGCATGTTTCTGCTCATCTTACATCGTTTTAAATGTCTTTAATAAAATATCCTTGACAGCAACCAAAGTTGTTAAAGCATAGATATGTGTAATAAAGGCTGGATGTCTTAAGGCGGCGTTTCGAACGGGATCACCCTTCAGCCATCCTGATATGGGGCAGCTCTCTGGCAGAACCTGTGGTACGTGAAGGAAGGTGAGTGATCTGCACAAACGTCTTGCTGAAATCTTGACGGATTTACAAATGGTTTGGTTTCTCTCTTCCAACATCCCAAAACAAAAAATATGTAACCTTATCTGGCCAAGAAATTTACAACATGAAATTAAATGTCATACAAACATCTGCTTCTTCATGAAGTCTTCATGACATCACTGTCAAACGGTCTAACACAGAGGCCTCAAACTCACCTTACCTTGGGGCCGCTGGAGATAGAGTCTGGGTGAGGCTGGGCCGCATCAAGTATTCCACAAAAAAAGTGTTTCAAGTATTCCAGAAAATGCAACTGATCTTCTCAATCTTTATTAATAACAATTCAGAACATGAACATTCCTCAGAACATAGGCTTCCTCTGACCTACTCCTTGCTACCAGAGACCTGGCAGCACTTCCTCTTACACAGCTGAGCCACGTTTGGCTTGAGGGAGGAAGCATTTGAGACCCTCAGTATCCATCAGTACGTTTAGACCTGCACTTTGACTTTTTAAAGTTCATGGTGGAGAAGAACTTTTCACACAGATAGAAAAAAAACAAAAACAGATTTGCACTGGGTGACAGGATATGTTTCCCCTCCACTCAGTGACACTCCAGAACCATGTTTCAAGTGACTAACGTGGCTAATTTGCATTGCTGTCACGAGCCTGAGCCTCGGTAGCCCACAACTGATAAAAAATAGAAAACACCCAGGGCAACAATTCGCGCAAGTGCGTTTGACAAAATTGTGCAGGCCACACTAACACTAAACTTTGATGTCAAAATATCGCTGCGAGTTTGAGACCCCTGGTCTAACACTACTGCTGCAGAACACAAATGTTGATGTTAACGGACAGAAAGGTAATGCTGTAGCCGTCCTAACAAACTGCTCTTATACAAAGCTGTTCTTACATTTAATAGCTGAGTTTGACTGTCCAAAATTAAAATGACAAACACCAACAAATTCATAAATAGTCACAGTTTTTATTCCAGATAAAGTTGCGAAAAATGTTTACATACACTTGGAAAAACTATGTATACTATCACAGTCGTGAGTTTCCACTAACTCCTATAACTCTTAATTTTCTATGCTGGAATCATTGAAACACATGAGTCATGCATTTTGGTTCTTTAATAGATTTATTATAGTTCTTCTGGAAATATGGCAAAACACCTGCCATGCAAGAAGGAAGCACTTTCTGCAGAAATAACACCTTAAAGCTCAGTTTCAGTTCTGTGGTCAGGTGGAACAAAAACTGAGCTGTTTGGCCACAATGAGTAGAAATATGTTAGAAGGAGAGAAGGTGAGGTCTTTAACCCCAAGAACACCAAACCTACCATCAAGCATGGAGGTGGCAGTATCATGCTCTGGGGCTGTTCTGCTGCCAGCGTGACTGGAGCTTTACATAAAGTAAATGGAACAATGAAGAAGGAGGATTACGTCCGCATTCTCGAGAAAAACCTTAAATCATCAGCCAGAAGGTTGATCTTGGACACAGTTGAGTTTTTTAACAAGACAATCACTCCCATTGAGACTCCCGTCAAAACCACAGTTAGTCTCTTTAGTTCAGCTTGTACTGGTCGGAATAACAGCCACAGATATCTCATGATGACTAGTCTGAATTGCTGTGATGAAGCTGCTCATTCGAGGCTTCCCATTGGATGTTGGTCAAGCAAAGTAGAAGCAGAAGTAACGTCGGCTGCTGTGGTGGAACAAATTTACATAACAATTACAAAGAGCTCATCAGTGAGGAGTTTGTGGAGAACATGAGGTTCATTCCTCAGAGAGTTGAGATGGAAATGTACTAGGACTTTGTCCTCAGGCTGCTCTGACATGGAGGTAAAGCAGCTGTTATATGAGGTTTGGTTTGCCGGCTAGGTCGCCTCTGACTCACTGTAGCTTTGGACGTCACTACAGATATCTGCAACTTCATTTCTCAGAATCAAAACTCTAATTCGAAGATGTCCGTACGTATATTTTAACTGGTCATAATTTGAGAATCTACAGCATCACTCTGACCAGCTCAAAGTTCCTGTTAGAATCTAAAATAGACAATGTAGGTATGTTTAAGTGAGGTAAATGAAAGACATCTTGAACTGTAGATACCTGAAAGTGGATTTAATATGAGTCTGAAGTTGAACTGTAGATACCCAGATACTGAGAACACATTCATAATAAAAGTGATGTCATTTGTCCTCGAAGAACAAGTTTGGATGCCTGAAATGTTCTTTTTGACTGAATAAGTCACAAGTATCTGCAATAATATCCAGTGTAGTGGGTAAATCCTAAATGTCAGTTGATTTTTAAGAAAGTTACTTTCTGCAGATGTGTGTTTTTTTGTAAGCTGCAGCAGCAGGAAGCAGGAAAATCAATGATCTGAGCTGTGGCGGCTTCGCCTGTGGCCCGATGCTGAGTTTTGGCTGCTGTTGTTCTTTGCCCTGCTGTGTTTTCTATTTTCTTGTGAATCTCCTCGAAGCTCAGAGACAGAATCTCTGCCAGACTTTGATCACAGAGGCTCTTCTGCAGGCCCAGAGGACGTCGGTCCAAACATATTCTGATCCTCGTTCGTCTCTCCTTGAAACTCGGCTGAAGTCTCGGGGGTCTCGCTCGACTCTGAGTTGTCACCTCAGGAAGCTCGGAGGTCACGACTCAGAGCAGCAGCGCCTTGAGAAATCATGTTGGCGTCGGACCATTTTTCCTCCTGACAGCCTCACTGTTCTTTTATCATTCGGCATTCTATATTTGGGCTGCGTGGCCCAAACCATCCAGGAGATTCACGTGTTTGTGGTTGTATGTTGTAAGAAAAACAGCTTGTGCAGGAATATTGTGTGCAATCTTTGAACTGAGATTTGACTGTAAAATCTGCATTTTTTGTTGTTCAGCCAACAGACTACGTTGAGTCAGAGGAAATGAGTTTTTCCTTTACAATCAAAACACAAATTAAATCATAAAATTGTTTTTAAATTCTTTATTCGTGAAAAATAAGTTGTTTTTACTCGTACTTCAACATTATTTCAAATAATTCTTAAAGTGGAATGTACCCAATTACCTTATTAATTATGAACACAAGTTTTCACCTTGAAAAAAAATAAGTTGCTCCAGTTTCAGTCGGTGGGGGAGGGGACTTTAAATCCTGACCTCTAGGAGAAGAAAAATTAGGTTATTAAACCAGTTTCATGATGTTATTTCAAGTCTGTTTTGGAGGCAGCACCTTGTGGTAATAACTGATATTGCACTTTAAGGCACTTCTGCATTGGCTTCACTTTTCAAAGCTGCGTCCGTTATTTCTACGTTCTCTATGTTGGCTAGTTAAAACAGACACCTGTTCACAACTTTATGCTGCAGAGTTCATCAGCATGAGTTAGCAGTTAGAGGTGCAGCAAACACACCTGGAACTCTGTCTCATCAGACAGTAAGAGGTACTATAGTACATTTTCTGACATTGGTTAATTCATTTTTAATCAAATAAATTATTAAAGCCAATTATTAATCATCTTGAAACTGTGAGGTCAAGCAAAACATGAATATCCACCAAAGAAGTCTTTGTCATAGTGCTTACTGCTAGCTAAACCGCAGGTCGCTACAGTACGAAACAGTCAGAGACTCCACCTGGTGAAACAACCAGGTACTGCAGCCAATATACAAAACACGTTCTGATAATTAAACTCCTTTGGCCCACCTTATTGGTTAATGTGTTTTTAATCAATTGATTATTAACAGCAAGAAGTCATTAACCTCCACAGAAGTCTTTGTCATGATGTCTGTTGCTAGCTAAACTCCCACAATGCTCTCTGCTTGCCAACATGAACTACCTGTGGTCTGAGTGACACCTCCTCTGGTCTCTACAGTATTAAACAGTAAGAGGCTCCACCTGGTGGAACAATCAGGTACTACAACTGTTTCTGACATCGTGTAGCGAATACAGGTTTTCTCCGTCTTTTGGAGCTTGTGGATGACAGTTCACCTGCATCTCTCTCATCTTCTTCCTTATTAGTTAATATAGTCTTAATCAAATAAATTATTAATGATAATTAATCCATTAACATTTAATCATTAACATCCTGAGCCTGTATGCGAGGCCCTTTGCTATGTTTGTCTGATCTCCTGGCCACTCCTGTTGCATCGAATACAGGTTGCATTGCTGATGTGGAGAGACTCAAAGACACAGATTTTGACCAGAACTAATTCCAGCACTTTTTTCCATGACATTCCTTCTGAAGTAAAAACATAATGTGGTTTCCATCCAGCTGTGTGATGAAACGCTTCACTCTGCTGTTTGAACACTGAAATATGACAGTTTGGAACTTCTCCAGATTTAGTAAAGAACATTATTTTCTGTTATTACTTTGACCCAGATCTGAGCTGACAGCAGAATCTGATCAGTGGTCTGTTGGCAGCGCAGCTTCGTTAATAATTGATGAATCATCTTCCTGGTCTGTCATGTGGCTGCGCTGATGAGACCTGCTGTGTTGATTTAACTGAATCTTTTTTGTGTCTAATGAGACAAACCAACATCACCGCCGGCGTTTGAAATATGCCCACGAGGCTCCGTTTGTTATTAGAGTTGGCTGCGATCTGAGAGAAATGCTTCATTAGTGATATTTAAGGATTCATTTACC